TGCAGATATAAAGACATATTAGATGGGGGAGGAAATCATAAATCAAATGACACCCTGAGAGACCAAGGTATAAATTTAGATTGGTGGACCTACCTACAAATTAAATCAAGATACCAGAAAGATAAGGAAGAATATGGCTTCGAAGTAGGACACAATGGACTAGACAAAATTTTGATGGGAATGGAAAAAATTTTTTTGGCTAAACTATACAACCATTTTCTAGATGAGGACAGAGCTGAAGAGACAGCTAGAAACCAATTGAGAGTATGGGAAAAAAACATAGGACATAGTTTAAATTTCAACGAATGGGAAGAGGCTTGGAATAAAAATTACAAATTGATCAGAGCTGCAACGTATAAGGAGAATCAGTATAAAATGCTCCACAGGTGGCATCTAGCACCTGCCAGACTAGCTAAGATGTTTCCCAATATGCACTCTAATTGTTGGAAAATGTGGCTATGGTCAGGGCACCTTCTTTCACATGTGGTGGACATGCCCCGAAGCGAAAAGATACTGGAACAGAATTCGGAGATGGCTACAAGAAACAATTGGAGAAGACATAGAATTGACACCGGAAATATTTCTCCTGGGAATAGTAAAGAAGGGGTATGGAAAGAAAAAGATCCATCTGATAATACATATAACTACAGCTCCTAGACTGGCGTATGCACAATTCTGGAAAGAGAAAACCCTGCCACCAGAAGAACTTATAATTAGGAAAATACTGGAGTGTGCAGAGATGAGTAAATTAATGTATGAAATAAACAATGATGAGAACTCAGAGTATTATACTGTGTGGGAAAGGTGGTATGAATGGATGAACGATAGAATTAAAGAAGGAGTATAAGGTGCGATAAATAAATAGCAACAAATAGCTTATGTGACACCAGATATATTTTATGTATATATGTATAAACACTGCAGATCCGATGTTAATAGAAATGAGATTTTTTGTGTATATATATATATATATATATATATAAAATTCAATAAAGCATATTTAAAAAAATAAAAATAAAAAAAAAATAAATTTTGATCTGGAACCCATTGTGTGCCAGAGTCCGGCTTATGAAATCCAGAAAGCCTCAACACACGTGGCGTATTACCAGTTTAGGTTCGGGGCTCAGACCTTTGAGAGATAGTCAGCGTTTGGAGTAAAGTTCCATTTGAGGTTGGATGAACCATAAAAACCCTGAGGCACTCCAAACCCTGCAGAGATTGTCACCCAAGCAGGTGCGATGGGCACAGTATTGCCAATGATTCCGGTTTGCTTTGAAATACATCCCCACAGGAAGAAACTTCCTGGCAGATGCTCTATCAAGGATGCCTCAATATAATAGCTGCTGGGAGGAGGTGGTGCATGCCCTCATTCCCCCCTCTCCACAACAAGCAACATGGGGTTTGGCCCAATGGCCTACTGTGAGCGCAGATGAGTTAACCTGTCAGTTACGGGATGGACTGCTGACTGACTCCTGGTTCCTAGAGACCAGCAATTGCTCATCCAACAGGAAGGGTTGATGTGGAAAGGCAGTAAATTATACATGCCCCATGCCCTAAAGCCCCAAATGATAAATCCCATGGTAAATGCCATGATGTGAAACAGGCAGGACTCTTTGGGTTTCTCAAACCCCTGCATTTAGCCAAGAGACAGTTCTGGTGGCCCCGGATGCAACACGAAATAGAGGACTATGTCAAAGGCTGTCTGGTCTGTGCAACCATGGGGAAGCCCCCTGGCCTCTAACAGTCCATGGCCGACCTGACCCAGCTGTGGGAGGAGATAGCCATAGACTTCATCATGGAGCTTCCGGAGGGCAATGGTCAGACCATCATATGGATGGTCATCAATTTGTTTTCAAAACAGGCACATTTTGTACCATGCCCTGGGTTGCCATTGGCACAAAAATTGGCTAAACTGTTCCTTATGCATATCTATCACCTCCACTGCATGCTGCGGAGGATAATCTTGGATTGGAGGGTACAGTTCACAGCTAAGTTCTGACAGGACTTCATCAGAATGATAGAGTCATCCCAGGGTTTAAGCTCAGCATTTCACCCAAGTACGAACTGGGTGGCAGAAAGGACCAATGCCATAGTGGGAAGATATCTCAGAAGCTATGTCACCTACCAGCAAACCAATCGGGCAGAGCTCCTGCCATTTGCAGAAGTGGCATATAACAATGCTGTCCATAGCAGTATGGATTTTACTCCCTTCAGAGTGGTGCATGGAATAGCAATAGCAATAGCACTTAGATTTATATACCACTTCATAGTGTTTTTACAGCCCTCTCTAAGCAGTTTTACAGAGTCAGCATACTGCCCCCAACAATCTGGGTCCTCATTTTACCAACCTCAGAAAGATGGAAGGCTGAGTCAACCTTGAGCCGGTGAGACTTGAACTGCTGAACTGCAGCTAACAGTCAGCTGAAGTAGCCTGCAGTGCTGCACTCTAACCACTGAGCCATAAACATTGTTCCCATACCTGAATACCCTAGGGAAGCCCCTGCCCCTGTTGGCCCAAAGGAGTGGAGAGAAACCTTCCAGGGGGTGTGGGGAACCATAAAAGTGGCCTTGAGAAAAGTAGCAGAAACCCAAAAGTACAAGCCAACAGGAATCAAGCTCCACAGAAGCCATTCCAGATGGGTGTACCTGTCAACAAAATACCTGAAATTGAAGGTCCCCTGTTGAAAATTTGGTCTGAAGTTCCTAGACTTATTCCCCATCGTGTGGATAATTAACCCCATGACAGTGGAGCCGAAACTACCCTGACTGTTAGGGAAAGTCCATCCTGTCTTCTATAGTAGTCTATTGAAACTAATAGGAGAGGCCTCTGTCCAGTCACAAAGAGCACCAGTATCTAGCCCTGTGGAGGTGGGGGGAGACCCAATACAAGATCGATCAGATATTGGATTCCCAGCTACATAGGGGCCAGTAGGTCTGATGGAAGGGCTATCTCATCACAGATGCCTCCTGTGATGACCTGGGCCAGAGAACAGGTTTAACTCCCCTTTATTGCTTCAACTTTGCTCCCAAACATCTCCAAGTCATTTGCTCCTAAGTCCTGGAGCAAAGCTCTCACACAAACCTTCAACAGCCTCTGGCTGCAAGTAGTCCAGTAAGCAAGGTTAGCAAAACAGTAACCAGGGCGAGCAGTCCAGTAAGCAAGATTTGCACAATAGTAATCAGGACCAGCAGTCCAGTAAGCAAGGTTTGCAAAGCAGTAACCAAGGCCAGCAGTCCAGTAAGCAAGATTTGCAAAGCAGTAACCAAGGCAAGAAGTCCAGTTAGCAAGGTTAGCAAAACAGTAACCAGAGCCAGAAGTTCAGCAAAGCAGGCAAACCAGGCAAGCCCCACAAGACAGAGCACAGTAATCTCCAGACGTCAGCAAGTGCACACAAGGCTCCACAGATTCAATGCTTGTTTCTGACAAATGCCCCTTCCACCAGCATCTCCTTATATCTCAGTCCCCAGGTGTGCCTTGTGAAGGGGGACGGGGCACTCTCCTCCCTCGTAATCAGCTCAGTCTGTGTTGTTCTTGCCTTCTCTCTTCTCTTCGTGCTTTAGGATCAGGAGGTCCTTGCTCATCACCTGAGCTCTGTCTCTCATATTCATCTTGCCCCTGTTCCTCCCCATCTACAAGCTGTTCTAATCCTGAAATGCCTTGGCCTGACCGGCTCTGCCCTTCCCCAGTTTCCTCCAAAGCCAATGGAGCTGCCTCCTCAATCTCTGTCAGCTCCTGTTCCAGCTCATCTTCCCCCCGGAGATTCAGGCTCCAATGGGGGCATGACAACTCCTGGGTAGCGAGTAGAGATGTACAGGCACCCCGACTGATAAGGAGGTTCCACAGGGCACATCCCCATAAACCAGGAGGGGATGTGGGAGGTCAGGCATAATGATCTACTGATGTATGTACTCACTGCTTATACTTCCTGTCTTCCAGGTGTAGCCCTGGTAGAGAGGGGTTGCCTGTCAAACCCCGACCCCGGGGTTTGCCATGGCTGAGGTGGGGCGGTGAGTGCTTGGATGCTACAACAATGGGGGGAGCTTGCTGCAGCAACAGTGGAGCCAAGCCAACACACCACTCTGCAGCAGCAGAGTCGAAACCCACCTGATGCTGAAAGCCAGCATTTATTTATTTATTTATTTATTTATTTATTTATTTATTTATTTATTTTATTTATTTATTTTATTTATTTATTTATTTATTTATTTATTTATTTATTTATTTATTTATTGGTTCAATATACATGCTGCCCTTTTCCGGAGACTCAGGGCGGCTTACAATGCATTAAGCAATAACCTTCATACTTTTGTATATACCTGCTTAGTAGGCCTTTCGCCCCCCCCACCCCCAAGCGGTGTTGTTTTTTATACAAAGTCAGCTTATTGCCCCCACAAACCGGGTCCTCATTTTTCCTACCTCGAAAGGATGGAAGGCTGAATCAACCTTGAGCCTGGTGAGATTTGAACTTGCAGTAATTGCAGGCAGCTGATGTTACTTAACAGTGCTTTAAGTAACAGTGCTTTAGTCTGCTGCGCCACCAAGGCTCTAATCGCAGACAGCAGTGATTCAGCTGACAATCAGCTGTTCCAGAGCACAATCAGCTGTTCTGCCAATGAGCAGCTGTTGAGCAGGCATTGGTTGAGTGGGTCTGGCCAACTTGTTGAAGGGGTGGGGAGGGCGTGGCCGATTGGTGTGGTGGCGGGATGCGGTGCGGTTCTGAACTTTAAAAGATCCTGGAAGGCAGATGCTCCCAGCACTGACTATACATCTAATTTTGATTTGGAACTCATTGTGTGCCAGTCTGGAGTATTAAATCCAAGAAGCATCAACACATATTACTGGCTTAGGTCCGGAACTTGGACCTTTGAGAACTAGCTTGTACAGCATTATGTACTAAATTAAAAGTATATAAACTTAAAAAGTGTGCTTTGGATACAGCTTTTACGTTTATGTACTTTATTGTTTAATTTACTTTTTTACTTTTTACATCTTTACTCACTCTGTCAAAATGCCATCAGCAGTATCTCGTCCCTCTGGAGTATCCCAGAATACCCTGGATGTTAATTTATTGGGTTCTGCTATTTTCTCCTTTACACTTGGACACTGAATTCTTGGAGGTTCCATATCTATACATAAAAACACAGACAAACATAATGATTTGTTTTAAGATAGTGTTTACTGAAGCATAGAACATTTTTAAACAATAGTAATAACATTAAGCCACAAACTGCTACCAGGACAGTTAAAATTAAACTGTTGAATATTAAAATGATACCAATAAAATGTTATCTAAAATACTAGAGAACTATTTATAACACCTGTGCAAAGAAATAAAATGTTTCACACAGTGATTTCTTGCCTACTCTTCAATTTTAGTTACTTTTAGTTATTACTTATTCTAATTTTGCAAAAATAAGTGCTTCTTCTATTCAAAGTTGTTTTATTCAGTCTTCAGTTTTTTACTACATTATAATTATAATTGGCACCCCTACTTTTCTAAAATACTTTTTTCCCATTTTATCATTCATGTTGTATTTCAATGAAACTTGGTTTCTTTGTAGACAATCATTACTAGTAAGCCTGTAAAAACTAAACTAAAAACTAAATGGTTAAATTTACACTAAATTTCAAAAATCTGGTCTTGATTTTGAAGAAAATGGAATTATTCCAGTGAAAAAAGATGGCAAAAGACTAAGAGACTAAAGCTTTAAAATTCCATCTGCAGACTTTTAAATATTTTGCTTGCATTTGGATATCTAATTGAAATTACAGTATATGAAACTTTATACTGGGTATCCATTTTGCTGAAAGGCACTGTGTTCCCACTAAAGTATATATAGCCTGAAGCAGTGGTGGTATTCAGCCAGTTCTATCCAGTTCAGGCGAACAGGTAGCGGCTGGGTGTGGCTCTGCCCACCCACCCGGAGGTAATCACATCCCATTTATCCACGTTTTTGACACTCTGCGTATGCGCAGAAGGCCCTGAGCATGCACGGAGTTGAAGGTGTGTGCTCACATTTGTGAACCAGTAGCAAAGATAAGTGAATACCATCCCTGGCCTGAAGCCATATTGCTTCACATTCTTAGAATATTTATACAAATCAAACTGGTTCATACATTACTTATGTCAAAAATGGAATATATAAATCTATTAGGTCCAATGAATACTACTGTTCTTTTTTTTAAAAAAAACCCTGCATTGTAACATTTGCTTGCTGCTTAAGGCAAATTAATCAATCATCAGTAAATTGAAGCTCGTAATTCTGCATGCAACTACAAATGTTGTTAATGGATAGGGCAACCTTTTATAATGTGCTGCCCAAAGAACAGGCAGTTGCTGTAAATAAGGCAATGCCTAATAAGAATAAACTTAAATTAATAAAAAATGAAATATTCCAGTTTCCAGAATTTTCAGTGCTTCAGCTATATAATTCTAAGGACCCTCTCACTAAATAATAAAATATAAACTATATTTTTTAATAAATATCAGTTACATTAATATAACAATCCTGCATTATTATCGGAACTGTATCTCAAGACTCTCTTGGATCTGTAAATTCTTCTTGCCTGACCAGAATGTTCTATTCAGTTTAACTACATCGAAAGTTATTAGATAAACACAACCCAAATTCGCAAAAGGCAGGAATGTATGGTTTTATATATAAAGAAGCCACATGCAGCTATGCTAGTTTGCTAATAGCTTTCCAGAAATACCAAACCCATTGCAAAATTGTTGAAATCATGTATACTTGATGTTAACAGGAGTCTCAGAAATAACATCTATACATGATGATTACCTAACGTTTTTTTTAAAATTCTGACCTTCCTTCTAAAGAACTTAATATGGCTTATGTGATTCTGTGCCAACCTCTATCAATTTTATCCTTACGAAAGTTGGGTTTAGAAATCAGGATTTCATTAAGTTTCAGGGCTGAACATTGATTTGAACATATGTTAAGCAAGTGTCCAGAAGACCTAGCAACTCTACTACACTGTTTTTTTCTCTCTCTTTAATTGCTCCAACTTGAATAGCCTATTAAATATTCAGAAAGCTCTGTTGGATACCTAATTTAGGATGCGATGAATGCAGAGAAATATGACTGTTTTCTCATCAATGAGAACTCAATGCAGGGATGATAATGGCTCTCATTTGTTTTTAGCCATTTTTAATAGGGACACTATTTGCATGCTGGGTCTTAGTTTAGCTGCATTATAATCTTTTGATCCTTAGAAAATTGTATAATAGTGCCAGAAAGTATACTAAGGAACAACTGTGTTAATGGCCTTTTGCATTTTAAATTAGTATATCTCTTACTCAGAGGTGGGCTGCTGCCAGTTCGGACAAACCGGTTGTTACAATTCTGTGCACTTTACCGAACTGGCAAATCCCACCACTGGCTGGCCCTGCCCACCCCGCCCTGCTCTGCCTCATCCCGGCCTGCCCTGCTCCGCTCCACCCCACCACACCCTATCTCAGCTCTCCTGCCTTGGCTGATGGCTAGAGTCATGCCCACGCCCAGCTACTCCCTGGCTCACTTGCCCAGACCACACAACCCAGCTGATCTCCATGCCTCACCTGATTGCCGTCCTTCACTGCAGCCTACCACACCGGTCATGTGGCCCAGCTGATCTCCGCACCTTGCCTGCTCTGCTCACCGTGGCTGCTCATGAAGGTAAGGTGCTTGGCCGAATGGTAGCCTCAGGGTGGACACAATGAAGCTCAGCCACCTTTTGGGTGTGGCTCTCGCCATCCTTCCACCTGCATGCCGCCCGCTCACCCTTTACCTTGGGTCAGGGCCTGGGGGATGTGCCAGATGCTGGTTCTACCCTTCTCCAGGGCCTCCGCCGACATGCCACCTGCATGCCCCCCTCTGGCCTCAAACTGCAGGGGGCCCAAAGCAGTTTGGGTAAGGTTCTTACCTGTAAAAAGTCCCATCAGAAAGTGCTGCAATGGAGAGAAGCAGCCGGGTTGAATCTCCGGCGACTCTCAGATTTTGCAGCCGCTTCTTCCAGCCCTTAGTGTTGGGCAAGCCTTGGTCGCTTACAGAGATGTTCCATGTGTTCTCCAGGTCGGCAGCTATTTCTCTCTGCTGCTGCTCTCACTGGGAGGCTTCTTGTGCAGCACAGCAAAATTTAGCAGCCGTGAGCCGCCATTTTCCTCTAAGTCCCATCCGGAAAGCACCATGGCGAACCTGGTTGAATGTTGTTCTCTCTGCTGCAGTGCTTTCCAGATGGGATTTACAGGACCCAAAGTGGCGGCTCACAGCTGCTGAATTTTGCTGTGCTGCACAAGACACCTTCCAGCAAGAGCAGCAGCGGAAACAGCCACCGACCTGGAGAGCACGTAGAGCCATTCCATATGCTCTCCGGGTCAGCAGCTGCTTCTCTCTGCTTTTTTGGTTTCTGGGTTATATCTTACTGATAGCTTATAAACAAGGGCCATCCAATACATCATTCAAATCTGTGTTGTTAAGTATTCAAGTTCAGTCAAATCACAAAATGCTTGTTAAATTTCTTTTCTTTCTGTTTCATTAAACTTTTATTTTAACACTGATATGGGTAAGCACAAACAAGCCTTACTTTGAAACTGCTTCTTATGCTCATATTTAGTTACTGATGTCCACTGAGAGTCCTATGTTGATGTGGAGGTCTTTTAATCCAATCTCCTGCTCAGGCAGGCAAACCAATACCATTTCAGACAATTTGTATTTGGCAATGGATGAAAACAGAGTATATATTGTTGGGTGAAAACAGATCCCTTCCATTACCTACAGGCAACCTTAACCTGCAACCACAATGAAGTCCAAAGTACAACATTGTTTTATTTCTTTTGCAGTAGTAGCCTTTAACAGGATGAAAAGGCAACAGAGTTTGACCACTTTTTTCAGCAGGAAACCAAGATTGGAACCAGATACAACAGAATTGTTCTTGGATGATCCGAAACAGTCACAAGCACCACCACTTGAACTTGGAAAAAGCAGCAAGACAATTATTGGTGACTCTGAAATTGAAAATAATCTTCCTGAGTGCTGGACATTGCAACAGTATAACAAGTTTAAAGAAAAATATGAGGGACTGGAAATTTCCAACAAAAAAATAAGTTTATGTATTGTGCTAAATTTGACTTCACAAAAGAAAAAAGTGCTCATATATCAAAGGAATGCAGATATTTCCTGATTGAGGCAGCAGGGAAAAATAAAGTGATACAACAACAGTGGTGGGTTGCTACCAATTTGCACCAGTTCACGTGAACCATTGGCAAAAATTTGGGCAAGGTCGCTGAACTGGTAACGATGGCCGGCTGACCACGCCCTCAAACCGGTTCCCCGGTCGCCATGTTGGTCGCCACTATGTTCTTCACGCACTGCCTTCCATTGCCTTCCAAGTTCAATGAGATGCCTTCCCATTGCCTTCCAAGTTCAATGAGATGCGCATACACGAAGAACATGGCAACAACAGCAGCAACTTTTTCCTCTGGTACCTTTTGGTGGCTTGGAGAGAAAGCGGCTGGCAAAGAAGCCTTTTCGGAGACTGCCTTGCCAGCCGCTTTCCAGCAGCAGCGGCTGGCTGGGGGCTACTGAAAACTCCGGTCAGCTTGCCTTCCAGACTCTGGACCAGCCACCATGGAAGGTAAGCAGGCCGGCGGGTGGGCAGGGGAGGGAGAGCTGGCAGCGTGTGGACCAATGTGCGCTGGGAGGGAGGGAAGTGTGTGGGAGAATGCAGCACCAGAGCTCTTCCCCTGCCTTTCTCCAAGCCGGCCTGGCCCATAAGCAAAGCGTGTGGGAGATCGCAGCACCAGAGCCTCAGCGCTGTTGAACCAGATGCCCTTCAGCGGCAGGCAGGCAGGACCCTTATTTCAGGTCTGCTATTTCTCTCAGAGCAGCCCTGAGGCAGATTTTCTGGTTTGGAGAGCGACAGAGTGGGGGGTGCAGCTTGCTATCCTTGGCCGTTCCTGCACCTCCCACCTTTCCCCAGCTGCGGACCAGTCTTAGTGAGAGGCTTCCTCAGTTTAAACATGCTTTTCTGTCCCATAGTGGCTCGGGGACATTTAACGGGTCAGTGGCACTATCCTCGCCTTTTGTAACAGACACTCTGAGAGCGGCAGTCCGGGGCTGAGGAACTAAAT